GGCCCGGGAGAGTCTGGGGGTCCGCCTGCCTGCAGGGCCGCGTGCTGGCCTCGGGGATGGGCGATGGTAGCGTGCAGGGCGCCGTGCTCCCCACCCCCGCCTCTGCAGTAGCAGGAGTGCGTTCGGGAGGGTTTTCTTTAAGTCCCGGAACTGCCCCCGAGCCGGCAGTGTTAGAGCAGTTCCGTGTCTGTGCAGGAAATTCGGCCTCGCCTCCGGAAAGGCCCCCGGTGTCACGTCCACTCCCCGGCGTTGGGGTCCCCTGGCCCAGGGAATGGCTCCTTACACACCTGGTAGTGACGGTCTGCGCCAGCGCCAGCGCGTCTGCTCCTCGGCTCGCGCTCTCTGACCTGCTAAGTGCAAGAGAAGCAGTGAGGGGGGACAGAGATTAGGCTTCAGTGATGAAGTTTTTAACCTGGACATTTCTCAACAGACTGCAAAGTCTGTGGAAGTTACACTAGAGTGGAGTAAGCATACACATTTTGGAGTTAAAAACTGTCAAAGTGCATTCTTTCCCAGCTCCCAATCCGGTGGCCCTGCAGCCATGGCGTTTGGACCTACTTCGGACACGGCCTCCTGCCGAGTTAAACTCGAGCTCAGGACAGAGAGGACTCCAGCCCAGAGCTGGCAGGACGGCCTCTGTTTAGCTTCCTGACCGCGTGTGTGAGTGGTCATGTGCTTGCGTTCAAGGTCTGCTTTTTGCCTTTGAAAATGACTCCAAGCAATTCCTAACCTACACATAAGTCCGACATGTTCTCAGCGGTTTGTGTGTGTCCCCTTAGACTTGGGCCGAGTGCTCTGTGCGTCCACAGTGGATTCTCTCAAGGCCCCGTCCGGGAAACACCCAGAGGGCCGACTCACCCGTCTTGCCTTGGGAGCCCTGTTGCTGTAAACAAGGGCTGCTTCCCAGGTCACACTGAGCTCCAGGAGCTGGCTTTGGGTGTAGCCAGCGTCGTCTGTACACCTGCTTCAGGTACTCGCTGGGAACATGGTATTTAGGGCAATGGGAGATGCTCAGCCCAAACCTCCGAGGGACCTAGGGATCGCCGTGTTGAAGCAGACCTGGGCCCCAACACAGACACGCCATCACTGCTTATACTTCCCTCTGACACTCGGGTTACAGAAGCAGCCCGCACGGCTCACGTGGGCTCCAAGGCGCAGAGTCCCTGTTGTAGAAGGTTCTAGTCAGGGCAGCTAGCCACTCGCTCCGCTGTAGGGTACAAGATCGAACTGAGCAGCCTTCTAGTTCAGACTCCTGCCGGCCCATAGCCTTGCTTTGCCCAAGCTATTGATTGTTAAAGTCGAAGGCACCTTTGGGGCCAGCAGGTGGTGGTGAAGGTACTGGCTTACCCCACCTGGCTGACTGCGGCTCCAGGCCCAGGCCAGTTGGGGGAGGAGGATAGAGGAGAAGGGATTGGAGTGCGGCCATCCGCCCAGAGGTGATTTCTCACTTTCCCTCCCTGTCTCTCTCAAGCAAGTGCAGGCTCCCTACAGCAAAAATATAAAAAAAAAAAAGTAAGGTGCCCTTTTAAAGAGATTTTTTTGCTATACAGTTCGTGTGCTTGCCAGAGACACACAGAGAGAGAAGGGAGACATCACCCTCCCCGCATGCACGGTTCCAGGACCCGAACCGTGATCAGCTACGTGGGAGTCCAGCAGTGTAACCATTATGTCATCTGTTGGCCTCATGACACCTACTTAGAATAACAAACTCCGTAAGTTTCTACATGAGAAAGTATTACATTTTTTAAGTTAATATGTGATAGTAACACAACAGTACTTGACAATGAGTATTCAATAAAAGTCACGTTTTATGGGAGGCAGAGACCGGAGGTGAAGGTGCAATTTTTAAAAAGACTTACTTATTTTCCTTTTTAAACATTTATTTTCATCTTCCAGGTTTTTAAATTTTTTTTTGGAGTTCTTTTTTTTTTTTTTTTTTTTTTTTGTTGCTATAGGTCATGTGCACTTGCTAGAAAGACAGAAAGCGAGAAATCACCCCTCCAGGGGGGATGGCCATGCTGCAATCCCTTCTCCTCCATTCTCCTTTCGGGATCTTGGGCACGCACACATGCGCCCAGCATGAGTTTAAGCCACCGGGTTCAGGATTTGAACCACAATCGGCTACATGGGAGTTCAGCGACATAGCCATTATGGTAACTGCTAGTCCCATCATTTTCCAGTTTGATCAGAGAAAAACAGAAAGTGAGAAAGCAAGCCACCAGGTCCAGGACTTGAACTGTGGTTGCTATATGGGACTCTAGCACCTCTAACCACCACACCACCTGCCACCTTCCACCTGCAATTATTTTAATTTACTTGGCATTTTCCTAGCAAAAGCTCGGAAGGTATCTGTTGATTCGGTGATTCTAGGTCCGAAGCTGTTTGTATGCCCTGTCATCGTCATCTATCCTGGGTTGTTCTCTGAATTCAGTCCTAAAAGCCTTGTGCTGCCTGTAGCTGGCTGAGCCAGCCCTGATGTCCTGCCTCCCCCCCCCCAGTTCCGAAGCTGTCACTTGCAGTAGTCCTGGCTGTTCACTGTAATATTCTGCAGTTCTGTTCCCTCAGGTGCAGGACAGCGTGGCGTCCGACTGCCCTGTGGTTAACCTGGGAGAGGCACTGCCCCTCTGTGGTCCAGGGAGCCCAGCTCTGCAGGGTTGGAGCAGAGGATGGTGCCCCTCCGGCAGCAGCATGGGGCATCTCAGCCCCAGGGCCTGAGAGCAAACGCACACCCTAAGTCAGGAAGGGAGAAAGTGCCAGAAGCCTTTAATGGTGAGGGGAGCCACTCCCTGACCCAACACTGACTGCGTGTCTGCTGAGCGCCCGGTGTCTAGGTGCGCGCTCTCGGCCGCTGGGTGGGTAGAAGCCTGACGCTGGGCACCATGCCTTGCGCTGGCTCGGCACTGGGCATTGTGCTGGGACTCGGGGTTGCTGGGGGCACTGCAGCCCTCGCCCCCAGGTGTGCAGCCTAAAGGGAGGAGGCCGCCCGAGGAGGTGAGGCAGGTCAGGGAGGTGCCGGCTATGAGGCCCCGAGAGAGGGGGGCACAGGCTGCCTAGTTGGGGGCCTGGCCAAGGGTAAGGGAGACATGGCGAGTGAGAAGTTAAGGCCAGGAGCCCGGGGAGAGAAGACCTGAGAAAACAGGCTGGCAGAGGGGCAGGAAGCAGACCCGGTGGGGCTTGGTCCGGCTCCTACGGGCTAAGGCCCTGCTCTGAGCAAACAGCAGGTGTGCCCGAGGCTTTTAGGCAGGGGGTGGCCGTCCCAAGATCACTCTCGCCACTCTGGAAAAGGAGTCACGGTGGTTAAGGGCGCAGGACTCCCACATGGACGACCATGGTTCGAGTCCCTGACCTGGCGGCTCGCATTCTCACTTTCCATCTCTTTAGCTCTCTTTCATTTCTGTCCCTAGCTCTCTGGTCAAATTGAAATTAATTAATTAATTAAATTTGATAATTCTTTTTTTAAAAAAGGAGTCATGGGAGGCAGAGACCGGAGGCGAGGGTGCTGACAAGAAGTCGTAGGGAAGCTCGGGCAGCGGAGGCCGGGTGGGCGGGGGCGCTGACCGGCCGTGTAGGTAGAACGGGCGGGAGCTGGTGGTTGATGGGACTTAGAGAGAGGAGAGTGAAAACAGCCCCTCAGTGCCTGACACGAGAGAGTGTGAGAAGGCAGCACAGCGAGAGACCTGGACGTCAGCAGGTGTGTGCCGAGCCTGGGTCCGGTTCCACGTGTCTCCGAGACACGGTCAGATGTGAGTCACACAGGCGGAAGGAGGTCAGATAGGAAGTCTGGTCTGGTTTGGTTTTGCTTTGCTGTAGGGTGCGTGTGCTTGCCAGAGGGCGAGAGAAAGCGCCCGGTGGGAGATGGCCACGGCGCAGTCCTCCGCCTCGGGCGTCTGGGCACGCACGCACATGTGTCCAGCGTGTTTTGCAAGGCGGGTGCAGTTGGCCATGTGGGATCCAGCGCCTTCGCCATCACACCACCGGCCGGCCCTGATGCGTCAGCGCCGGGACAAGCAGAGATTGAGCTGGGGCACAGCCCCTGTCTGAGGGGGTGTGGTGTGGAGGGGAGGACTTTCAGTGCAGCACAGGGCTGGGTGCAGGCAGGAGACGAGGGCCGGGCCAGCTGGCTGTTGGGGTTCAGAAGGCACAGGGCATTGCACCAGCTTCCTGAGGCACACACCCTGAACTGGGCCTTGAACAGAGGAGCAGATGAGGGAGAAAGGGCTCAGGACAGCAGTGGGCTTGTGGGGCAGGAGCTGAGGGCTCCTGGGTATGACAGTTGCAGTGAGACTAGGGAAACGTTTTGGCCCAATGAGGGAAAAGACCGAGCCCCATGCCCAGCTACAAGGGACCTTCAGAAATTCACATAAATGCATGTTATGAGAAAAATGTATGGATTTTTTTTTTAAAAGAATTATTGAGACTAGCAGTTAGCATAATGGCTATGTCGCTGGACTCCCACGTAGTCAACCGCAGTTCGCATCCTAGACCCGGTGGCTTAAAATTCACGCCAGGCGCGTGTGCGTGCGTGCCCAAGATCCCGAGAGGAGAATGGAGGAGAAGGGATTGTGGGGTGGCCATCCCCCTGGGGGGTGATTTCTCGCTTCTTGTCTCTCTGGTAAGCATATGTGCCCTATAGCAAAAAGAAAAAACAAAACAAAAAAAAAAGAAAAAAACTCTCTGAAGAAAAATGAATAATACTAACAAAAATTAAGTAAATAAATAATTTTTTTATTTTTGTTTTTCTTTTCTTTTTCTTCTTTTTTTTTTTTCTGGAGAGATTTTTCGCTATAGGGCGCGTGTGCTCTCCAGACAGACAGAGACAGACAGAGTTTAAGCCACCAGGTCTGGGACTCGAACCGTGGTCGACTATGTGGGAATCCAGCAACATAGCCATTACACCAACTACTGGTCTCTTATTCCTATTCATTTTTTAATTTGACCAGAGAGAGAAAGGGAAAGTGAGAAAGCAAGCCACCAGGTCTGGGACTTGAACCGCAGTTGGCATGTGGGAGTCCAGTGCCCCAGCCAGCTTCTTTCGAGTTAGGAGGAGCACATGGTGGTGCAGCAGGTGTGCTGCGGCCCGAGGCAGAGGTGTGGAGTCCCTAGAGGGCGTGGGCCGAGTGCACTGCTGGTGGGCAGCAACACTGGGGGGCGTCCTTCCCGCGCGGCTCAGCCTGCTCAGCAGGTCCTCAGGGGTTTGCAGAGGGCAGAGCACTTGACGAAGCGTGTGGCTGGTGGCACAGGAAATGGAGGGTCCTCCTTTCAGGACTCGCTGTTTGGGATGGAGCTGGTGGTGTGCTGCGAACTGGCTCTTGAGGGAAGAGCAGCCCGACGTGCGTACTGCTGGTGAGTTGCATACCCCGAGGAGCTTGCACCAGCCAGCGGGCGCCGTGGCGTTTCGGGGGAGATGGAGCCGGTCGGCCCCTCACACAGAGCCCGGCTGCACCGGACCGCGATCTCGGCGCGCTCTTGGCTCTGGGCCTCGATGTCGGCACTCCTTTCTGTGGCTGCCACCTTTCAAACCAAAGCGCATGTGCTTCTCGTTCCCGACAGCCCGGTGGGACCCATGTGAGAGATGGCCAGTGCGGAAGTGAGCGTCCCGGTGGGGGATGTGGTCGTGGTGCCCACCGAAGGAAGCGAGGGGGAGGGCCCTGAAGACACCAAGACGCAAGTCATCTTGCAGTTACAGCCTGTGCAGCAAGGGTGAGTGGCCGGGGTGTGGACGTCAGAAAGTGTGGGTAGCGGCCAGCAGGTGGCGTGGTGGTTGGGCGCTGGACTCCCACTTGGCCGACCACAGTTCCAGTCCCGGACGTGGTGGCTTGCTTTCTTCTCTCTCTCTCTGTCTCTCTGGTGAGTGCACACGCCCTATAGCAAATTAAAAAGTAAGAGTAATAAATAAAATGAAAAAGGAAAAGCAGTGTGGGGAGATGCAGGGTTGGGGAATTGGAGCTTCGTGGTTGCGTAAGGCAGCCGCGTCTCCGTCTCCTGACGGTACTGTCTGCGGCAGTAGCATCTCAGTGCTCGCCACGCTGCGCGGCCTCTCGGCACCGTGACCAGGGGAGCCCAACCCCAGTGACCGGCTGCGACTTGAACCCCGGCGCTGCTGGCTTGAAAATAGGCCTCACGCGTGCGTCTGTGTGCCAGACCCCAGCAGGGTGGGAAGATAGGCCTCATGTGTGCGTCTGTGTGCCAGACCCCAGCAGGGTGGGAAGATAGGCCTCATGTGTGTGCATCTGTGTGCGTCTGTGTGCCAGACCCCAGCAGGGTGGGAAGATAGGCCTCATGTGTGTGCATCTGTGTGCCAGACCCCAGCAGGGTGGGAAGATAGGCCTCATGTGTGTGCGTCTGTGTGCCAGACCCCAGCAGGGTGGGAGGATAGGCCTCATGCGTGTGCGTCTGTGTGCCAGACCCCAGCAGGGTGGGAGGGTGGAGAAGGGATTGCAGCGTGGCCACACCCACTGGGGCTTGTCTCTCTCTAGCGAGTTCACGTGTTCTCTGGCAATAAAGAGACTTACACCAGTTTTCTGTCCCCTGTGTCTCTTCACCACCGCAAGCTCTCTGAGAGTAAATCGCGCCGTCATCTCTCGCTGGCCCGTACTGTGGAACAGGGCCTCCGTCCCTGGTTACTGAAGGGCAGTGTATGTCAGGCCAGGACAGGCCAGGCAGCTACGGGCGTGTTCCAGACGCGAGCTCTCTGGGCCTCATGTGCAGACAGATGTTCAGGGCTGGTGAATCAAAAAAGTATGTGGGGAGTCTCCCAAAAGTGCTTGGAAAGTGCACATTATGAAAAACGGCACGGATTTCAAAATTTCTTTGCACCAAAATAACCTCAGACTTTAATTCCATGTTTCCAGAAACTTTTTTTAAAAGAATTACTTAATTTAATTTATTATTATTATTTTTAGTGTGACCAGAGAAAGAGAGAAAGTGAGAAAGCAAACTGCCAGGTCCAGGACTGGAACCGTGGTCAGCCATGTGGGAGTCCAGCACCTTAGCCACCACGCCACCTGCCAGCCCCTCCATTAACTCTTTGAGGTCTCCTATACAGACAGATTATGGTCTGCACTGTCCTGTGTAGGTGTTGGAAGGAAGGTGGCCACTGGGGTCTGCTGCAGCAGCAGGCGTGGGGCCTTGCTGTAGTCGCGGGGCTGTGAGACCTGGGGTTCAATCCCAGGTCAGCCTGAGCACACCAGGGGTCCTGTTCCTGTCGGACTGCCCAGAGGCGTGGAGAGGGTTGTAGCCTGACATGACCCTGTTCGGGGGCTCTGTCACGTTCTCTTTTTTATTTTATTTTATTTTATTTATTTATTTATTTATTTTATTTTTTTGGAGAGGCCTTTGCCATAGGGCTTGTGTGCTCGCCAGACAGACAGAGACAGAGAGACAGAAAGCGAGAAATCACCCCCCAGGGGGGATGGCCATGCCGTAATCCCTTCTCCTCTCGGGATCTTGGGCACACATGCACACATGCCCGGCGTGAGTTTAAGCCACCGGGTCTGGGACTCGAACTGCGGTCGACTACGTGGGAGTCCAGTGACATAGCCATTACGCTAACTGCTGGTCTCCTCACTCACTCTTTCTTGAAAAAAAAAAATAAAGAAGAGAGAGAGAAAGGGAGCTAGCCCCATGGCCAGGTGGTGAAGGGGGCTAGATCCCACGTGGCTGACTGTGGCTAAAACCCCAGCCTTCGTGACTTGAAAAACGCACCAGGCATGGGTCAGCGTGCCTAAACCCTCAGAAGGGGCCAGGAGGGGTGGTTGCTGTGTGGCCACACCCTCCTGGGGTGGTTTCCTCCCTCTCAGTCTGTCTCTAGCAAGAACATGTGTCCTCCGACAAAAAAAAAAACACACCCAAATGATGGGGACAAGCAGGTGGAGTGGTGGTTAAGGCACTGGACACTCCCACATGGCCAACCACGGTTCGAGTCCCGAGCCTGGTGATTTGATCTCCCACCTTCCTTCTCTCTGTGTCTCTGTCTCTGGTTAAATTAAAATTAATGAATAAAGAAAATAAAATAAATAATTATTTAAACAAACAAACAGAAAACAAAAACCCAAATGATGGGACCAGCAGTTGGCGTACTGGCTATGTTGCTGGACTCCCATGTACTCGACTGCGGTTCGAGTTCCAGACCCAGTAACTTAAACTCATCCCAGGTGCGTGCACGTGTGTGTGCGTGCACCCAAGATGTTCCAGAGGTGCCTGTGGGAAGTGGGGCGGTCTCCACGAGGGGTGGAAGAGGCGCCGAAGGTGTGCTAAGGAAGTGCTGGCAGTTCACAGGTCGCCACCAGTTTGAAAGAAGAGAGGAATTTGGGACCAGCAGTTGGTGTAATGGATACATTGCTGGACTCCCACGTAGTCGACCGCAGTTCGAGTCCCAGACCCAGTGGCTTAAACTCATGCCAGGCGCATGTGCATGTGTGCCCAAGATCCTGAGAGGAGGGAACCAGCAGTTAGCGTAATGGCTATGTCGCTGGACTCCCATGTAGTCGACCGCGCTTTGCGTCCCGGACCCAGTGGCTTAAAACCTATGCCGGGTGCGTGTGCGTGCATGCCCAAGATCCCGAGAGAAGGGATTGCGGCGTGGCCATCCTCTCTGGGGGGGTGATTTCTCGCTTTCTGTCTCTCTCTGTCTGGCAAGTGCACACACCCTATAGTGAAAAACCTCTTCAAAAAAAAAAAAATCCCAAGAGGAGAATGGAGAAGAAGGGATTTTGGCATGGCCATCCCCCCGGGGGGTGATCTCTTGCTTTCTGTCTCTCTGGCGAGTGCACGTGCCCTATAGCAAAAACCTCTCCAAAAAAAACAGAGGAATTTAAGAATGAGTTCTGGGGGCCAGCAGTTGGCATAGTGGTTACATTGCTGAACTCTCACATGGCTGACTATTGTTTGAGTCCTGGACCCGGTAGCTTGAAAATCATGCTGGGCACTTGTGCATGTGTGCCCAAAATCCTGGGAGGAGAATGGAAGACAAGGGATTGCAGTGTGGCCATCCCCCTTGGGAGGCAATTTCTCACTTTCACTCTCACCGTCTCTGTCTCTCTGCGGTGAGTGCACGCACCCTAAGGGAAAAATCTCTACCAAAAAAGGAGTTCTGGGCCAGCCTGTGGCTTTGCAGTTAAGGTGGCCAGATCCCTCATAGCTGACAACGTGGTTCTGTCCTGGACCCGGCAACCTGAAAAACATGCTAGGTGAGGTGGGTGCCCAAAACCACAACAGAAGAGGGAGAGAGAGAGAGGAGAAGGGCGTGACCGTGCCCCGGGGGGTGGGGAGTGCTTTCGCCCTCACCCTCTGTTTCTCTTGTCTGGCAACATTTTAAAAAGTGGGGGGTGGGGGGTTCCCCAAAGGATAAATAAGAGTTCTATGCATAGCGGAAGGAGAGGTCGTTTGTGCTTCTCTTTTGGGGAGAAGTACGAGATCCTCAGCAGGGTTATCAGTGTGCGGGGTCTCAGACTCCACGTCCAGTGTACGCACCTTGTCCTGAATGTTTCTAGAGGTCAGTCAGTCTCTCTTGGTAATTTACTTTTTAGGATAGAAATTTCAAATATAGACAGAATGAAGACACTGTAATGAACTCGCCGTGTAAGTTCCTCTCACCTTGTTTCAACAGTTACCCGCATCTGGCTAGTCTATGGCTAGTCCAGTCGTATTTTAATCTCTGCATCCACCCACTCCTGAATTTTTCCAAGCGAACCTCAGACATTGTATGTATATCTCAAAAAGGTAAGAACCTCTACATTTGTTGGAACCAACAAATGACATAATGGTTATGTCACTGGACTCCCACATAATTGACTGCGGTTCAAGTCTCGGACCCGATGGCTTAAACTTATGCGGGGCACATATGTGTGTGAGCCTAAGATCCCGAGAGGAGAATGGAGGAGAAGGGATTGTGGTGTGGCCATCCCCCTGGGGGCTGATTTCTCGCTTTCTGTCTCTCTGTCTTTTTCATGAGCACATGCTCCCTAAGGCAAAAACCTCTCCAAAAAAGAACTTTTTCATTTGATTATTTTGCTATAGGCCGCATGTGCTCGCCAGAGAGACAGAAAGAGAGAAATCAGCCCTCAGAGGGATGGCCGTGCTACAATCCCTTCTCCTACATTCTCCTCTTGGGATTTTAGGCACACATGCACACATGCCTGGTGCGAGTTTTAGGCCGCTGGGTCCGGGACTCGAAATGCAGTTGACTACGTGGGAGTCCAGTGACGTAGCCATTATGCCATCTGCTGGTCCCGCCCTTGGTTTTTGTAATGACGTCATTTATGAGAACCCTTTATTACGTACTCTTCCTCATTGGCAGAGTGCAAATGCACTCACCGGAAAGATGGCGGCTGCACGGAGGGAGGAAGCGCCCCCCGCTGGCCACACCGCAGCTCCTTCTGTTTCTGAATCCTCATCGGGGTTTTGGGTATGCACACAAATGTGCCCAGCATGCCCTTTAAGCCACCAGGGCCAGGACCCAAACCGTGCGGGACCCAGCCACTAGCCATAGTCTGTGGGTCTAGCTTGTAAATCCTTAATTTTTTTTTCATCCTCATCATTATTTTAGAGGTTTTTACCTGAGGGTGTGTGTGCTCGCTGGGGAGAGAGACAGACACAGAGAGAAAGTGAGAAATCACTCCCCAGTGGGGACGGCCACACTGCCATCCCTTCTCCTCGGGCTCTTGGGCACGCACACACACATGCCTGGCGTGAGTTTAAGCCACCAGGGCCAGGACTCAAACCACAATCGAGTACATGGGAGTCCAGCGACATGGCTATTACGCTAACTGCTGGTCCCTGTCATTATTTGAAAGAATGATTTATTGGGACCAGCTGGTGGCATGGTGGTTAAGGCACTGGATATTCCCACATGACTGACCATGGTTCTAGTCCTGGACCTGGTAGCTTGCTTTCTCACTTTCCCTCTCTCTCTATCTCTCTCTGTGTCTCTGGTCAAATTAAAATAAATGAATGAATAAATAAAATTAAATAATTCTTTTTAAAAAAGAGATTTATTTAATTTTATTTATTATTGTTATTTATGTATTTTAGAGATTTTTGCTATAGGGCATGTGCACTCACCAGAAAGACAAAGAGAGACAGAAAGTGAGAAATCCCCCCAGGGGGGATGGCCATGCTGCAATCCCTTCTCCATCCTCCTCTCAGGATCTTGGGCATGCATACACGGGTGCCCGGTGTGAATTTTAAGCCTCTAGGTTCAGGACTTGAACCATGGTCACCTATGTGGGAGTCCAGCAACATAACCACTATGTCATCTGCTATTCCCTTATTTATTATTATTTTTTAAATTCGACCAGAGAGAGACAGAAAGAGTGAGGAAAAGTGAGAAAGTAAGCCAACAGTTCCAGGACTCGAGCTACGGTTGGCCATGTGGGAGCCGGGTGCCTTAACTGCCACACCATCTGCTCGCCCCTATTATGTTTTAATTTGTTATAGGGCACATGCACTTACCAGAGAGGGACGTGGTGAGGTGGGGGAGGTGGACAGTGAGAAAGCAAGCCGCCAGGTCCAGGACTTGAACTGTGGTCAGCCATGTGGGAGTCCAGCACCTTAATCACTGTGCCACCTGCTGGCCTCTATAGACATAACTTTAAGCTCAAGGGAGGGGGTAACTTTACCTTCTGTGATGGTCCCATCAGTGTTCTACAAATTCTTACATTCTGGAGAGGGTTTTTTTTTTTTCTTTTTTCTATAGGGCGCGAGCACTCTCCAGAAAGACAGGCAGAAAGCGAGAAATCACCCCCCAGGGGGGATGGCCATGCCACAATCCCTTCTCCTCCATTCTCCTCTCGGGATCTTGGGCACACACGCACACGCACCCGGTGTGAGTTTAAGCCACCAGGTCCAGGACTCGAACTCAACTACGTGGGGGTCCAGCGACATAGCCATTACGCCAACTGCTGGTCCCGAAATTCTCACATTCTGGGTACATGTTCTGACTAAAAGTCGTTCTGTGCTCGTGATGGAGCGTGCGTATGCGTGGGAGAGCGAGAGCAGGAGAGCGTCGCAGCCTGGCCTCGCAGTGTCTGCTCGTGCACCGTGCCCTTCCCCCTTCGCGAGCCCGTCGGGTTCTGGCACTTGGTGTGTGCCTGGCCTGTCACCGTGCAGGCTTGGCTGCTCTCCAGCAGAGAACCCGGTGCCGGCTGTGGGTGACCACTGACCGCCGACGTGGACGTGTAGGAGTTTGGTTGAGTTTGTCACAGTCCCCAGTTCCTTCAGATAGCTTTCCCTGATGAAGATCTTATTTGTGGGGCTAGCATGTGGCGTGGTGGTTGGGGCACTGGACTCCCACATGGCAGATCATGGTTTGAGTCCCAGACCTGATAGCTTGCTTTCTCACTTTTCCTCTTTCGTTCTCTGTCTCTGATGAGTACGTGTGCCCTATAGCAACATCTAAAAATAATTTTAAAATGGGGCCAGCAGGTGGCATAGTGGTTAAGGTGCTGGACTCCCACGTGGTCAACCACAGTTTGAGTCCCAGACCCGCCAGCTTGAAGCATACCAGGCGTGTGTGTGTGTGTGTGTGTGT